CTTAGCATAATTAAGCACTGTGAATGTATATATATATATAGACGACATATTCTTGACCAATAGTTCAATAAGTGTATTTTGCTATTGAGACAGTAATTTGAGATCATCTTCATTAATGATATAACGGGTTATATTGGTGTGTATCCGTTTTAAAAAACACCCGCCACTTAAATGGCGTCCGATTTTCTCCTGAACACTAATAGGACGGTAGTTTATTTGGGACGAACAATCATCGATCTTATTATTTATACGACTGACTTACTGTATATCAGATACCCTACCCGTGTGATGTGTGTTACTGATGTCGATAGATACAAGTGGTATGCATCATCAATCGAAAGTAAAATGCCTAATGGAAGAAGGTTAAGAAGATGGAAGAAAAGAGAACGAGAATAGAGAATGATTAGTGTGAAAATGAAGGGACAGTGAAATCTGAGACGATTGATTGATATTTCGCAAATGAAGTAATTTTGTGTCTAAATACAACCAATCTCGTTCACCACACCATCAACTAATCTACCAACTTTTACCAGTATTCCACAGAAGTATATTATTTAGCTTATTTGACCATTTTCTCGTTCACCTATTATCAGTGATGTACACAATAGTATAATTTTCTCTGAGGATTTCATTTCAGTCATCTAAAGCTATTTACATATAAAAGATCAAATAATAAAAGAGCAAAGAAAGTAAAAGTTTAGAGCTTGAGATGAAGTACTCAGTAAAAACTATGTTCCTGCATACATTAACGCGAAAGTTCCATAAAACAATTGATGAGCTACCAATTCACGGACACATTAATTCAACTCAAATCAACAACATGTAATTCACCTGACTGGCAACTATATAAATCAATAATTAGGTAAGTATAAAAAGTAGGAAAAATGTATTTGATACGTCGAATATCTGTCTAACTATCTACCAGTCTGTCTAGAAGCAACAGCCGGTCACTGTCTATTCGACACCAACTGTCTTTTATATAAATTTCTTTCAATAATTATTAATTGTTGAACAAAAAACAACTCAACTTATTTCGATATTTTTGTCTGTCAGTTCCACGACGAGTTACTGGACTCTGATTATCAAAACGTTGTTGATAAAGTGAGTGTTTTCACCTGCAATGTAGACATCACCCAGGACTTGTCGGCTCAAAGAATGCACTAATTTTTCTAAAATCGACTTTTTTAAACTTAGCTTTACCGTAATGCCAAAAACCTATCGTAACCCTCAAATGCAATCGGTCGACACAAGTGAGTTTCATAAAATTTACACATGTTACTGTCTTCTTGTCTGACCTTTGAGTGTTCTTCCTAATAAGTGCATTTTAACAGTTGAAACTCTTGTCTCCGTCTGATATCTGAAATAGCTTCGATGACAAGTTCCACCATATACTACTTACAAGCAATCTTGTGAGTAGCATCTAACCCATGTCGAATAGTCGAGTCTATAGGCGTGACCTCTGTGGTTCAGCCATCACCGTCTCCAATCTGTCAATTCATTGGAAATACTTTTGGAGCTAGCGTTTCACTTTGTTGCTTTTAAGGATAGCATATACTGGTCCGCCTCTCTTGATTAACACGTATGGTCCTTCTGCCTTGAGCAGTAGTTCCCGCGATCCGAGTCCACCTAGTGTTATTCGCTTTCGTTCTCTACATTTTATCTTATCTCCTACTGCGAAGAGGTTTAACTATTTCCCTTGATTCAGTTCGGAATCTTAGAGACGTCGAGGTATAAAGAGATGATCAAGTTTTGTACAGTCATACTGAAAAAGACCACACAAGATACTTGGAGGTGGTCCTGAGGGGAATCGAAGAGTTAACGAAAAGAAATCGCAGATAGTTAAGACTACTGTTATTCTGTTAAAATATAAAGTTAGGAAAAATGCAGTGATTTCGGCTCTTGAGAGAATCTTTACAATCAAGCACATAAAGGCACCCATCTCTAAAAAGAAACTGGGACAGTTCATGCAAAGAACAGAGTCTTATAATAGCTTCTTGAAGAAATTCAACGAGATCGTGGACAGAAGAGGTGCAGGGAACGTTTGATTGACAAACATATAACGCTGAATTTACCAATCTACAGTAAGCCATCTACGGTATCCACAGGAGCCGATGATCGGTGAATAGGGGTGGTGCTCAAACAGAACAACAGAATTCTGGGATATTCCGTCCGCGTTTTAACAGCTGCCAAACGAAGGTACTCAGTCGTCGAAAAAGAATTTTTAACAACCACTTGGGCAGTAGGCCGATGGAGATCGTATATACTTGATCAACGATTCTACTTTGAGACTGATCACAAGCAACTACAACTGATAAAAACCAGCAAAAAATCCCCGGGGAAAATCATGAAGATGGACATAGCGCCCGCAGCAGCACGGCTGGTCAAATGTTGGGTAGGGAAAATGTGGTTACGAATAATCTATCACGAGGGAAGAACGACAGTGACATATGCGAAGTGGTCTTTGGAGTCAACACAATGCAGTCTGATCTAGAAACACTTGTTTGTTGTCAGGACTCCAGTCCAACACTCAGAGCAGTGAGGCCAACTGTGGTCGAAGGAACTGACGTTAATACTCAGAGGCTAAACAAGGAAGAAACTATACTTTTCAACCAGAAAAACCGGTTGATGCTGAACGCCGCAAGAGTGCTGACCCGGGGAGAGTACGATAGCAGATTGGTAGCAGTAATCCCGAGACGATGACGCTGTACGATAATCCATGAGTGCCACTTAATGGTTACAACTAAATTGTTATAACTAAGCATTTATCATTTATGTGATTTCATCCTAATTATTAATCAAAATGGATGTACAGTCAATGCATAAATGAGTTTATTTTCGACTAGGGTCATCGTCATGTTTTGGGATTAATAAATCTTCAATTGTACCAGTCTTTGTGTACTTACTTTCGCGTCGTGGGAATTGCACTGCTTTCTCGTTTATGAGTATAAGTTATAAGCGATTCCGACATGTGGTGACTCCCATCAAAAGAGCTTATTCAGGATATAACAAAACGCAAAGTTACAAATAATATACCAAAAACACTTAACACTACAAACCCAAGTGTCTGTTTATGAGTAACGCAAATGGTAAAAAATTACAGTTACAATATAAATGGTATATTAAACAACAAAATGATAAAAGCTGATATGGAATGAATGTGACTTGTAAGCTGCTCTCTGAGATAACAATCACAAATTACATGCAATTGGTTCCCTTTATGAATTTAAATAGAGCAAGAACAAACATGGATGCAGAATAGTATGAATTCATATTATTTCGAGGTTTCTCGTCAGCTGCTTACAAACCAAAATTGTGATAGAATTTTCACATGGAGATAGTGTGAAACAAATGACATAAATGAATGTAAATAACGTGATTACAAAAATAACTATATATATATATGCTAGAAACAGGTCAGAGGTCAAAAGAGGGGGGTTAATCCAGGGTGGGTGGTTTAATAATTTAGTGAAGTTCATAAATTGTGTGATAATTATAGAGATTAATGGAATTAAATAATGATAAGGTAGATTACGTAATAATAATTAAATAGGGTTTGGAAAGCTAAGATGATTTAAGAGGATCAGGTGACGGAAATGTGTGAATAAAATTTATTTTATTTTAAGAATTCGGTAATAGGGGGGATATAAATTATCTTAGAATAAGTAAATGAATAAAATAACCAAAACACAAAACAAACAGAAACAAAAAGATTACCAGGGTAGTGATAAGTTTATTAAAGTCTCTTTTTGGATGCATAAGTCCGGTTTCAGTTTCTTAATTGCAATGGCTTCAGCAAAGCGGAGAGTGGTAGTAGTTCTTTGTCTATTGATAATTTTAAACGCGCGCATAATATCGACGGTATTCCCGGTGTCAAGTAGATGCCGAACTATTGCACTGTTAAAAGCTTTATTCCCTCGCAGCGTCAAGTTCTTCGGAATATGCTCAGAAATGCGAACCTGTACTCTTCTCTCAGTTCTTCCAATGTATGTGCTACGGCACGTACATGTGAATTGGTAAATGCAGTTGGAGCAACTGAGGGGAGAGGACTTGTCGATTTTCGTTTGTTTCAGTGAGCAGTATGTTTTCCATAACGTAGTCAGTTTGGCTTCCGGGTAGGTCACTTTTAAAGCGGAATTAATTCTGTGATTGATAATTCCGGCGACGCGTCTCAAAGTAGAATCGTTGATCAAAAACAACTCAACTTATTTCGATATTTTTGTCTGTCAGTTCCACGACGAGTTACTGGACTCTGATTATCAAAACGTTGTTGATAAAGTGAGTGTTTTCACCTGCAATGTAGACATCACCCAGGACTTGTCGGCTCAAAGAATGCACTAATTTTTCTAAAATCGACTTTTTTAAACTTAGCTTTACCGTAATGCCAAAAACCTATCGTAACCCTCAAATGCAATCGGTCGACACAAGTGAGTTTCATAAAATTTACACATGTTACTGTCTTCTTGTCTGACCTTTGAGTGTTCTTCCTAATAAGTGCATTTTAACAGTTGAAACTCTTGTCTCCGTCTGATATCTGAAATAGCTTCGATGACAAGTTCCACCATATACTACTTACAAGCAATCTTGTGAGTAGCATCTAACCCATGTCGAATAGTCGAGTCTATAGGCGTGACCTCTGTGGTTCAGCCATCACCGTCTCCAATCTGTCAATTCATTGGAAATACTTTTGGAGCTAGCGTTTCACTTTGTTGCTTTTAAGGATAGCATATACTGGTCCGCCTCTCTTGATTAACACGTATGGTCCTTCTGCCTTGAGCAGTAGTTCCCGCGATCCGAGTCCACCTAGTGTTATTCGCTATCGTTCTCTAAATTTTATCTTTTTTTGTGTAGGAGTAGATTGGAAGAAAGCTAGGGGCGGCCAGACCAAAACTTGGCACAAGTCCATGAAGTCACTAACAAGTGGACTGAGCCATGTTCGTAGGTGTAGACTACCCTGGTTGGGATCCGCGAGACGATAGCAACCGATAATTAGAGACTTTGAATGACATGGCTCAAAATCGTTTGCAATGGCGCAGGTGAATCCACCCTTTGTGTTCTCCCAAATTCTTCATGTCTCTTGGTTTAGAATCACGGTTTTCCGACTCCCCTAGGTTAATCGATCCCTTGTATCCATTATGCATATATGTATGCATGTCCACATAAAACCAATACCAAATCACAACACATTCTTCATATGATTTAATATTTGAGAAAACGTTCACAACACACACGAACAAATAGAAGTTCAACTCACTGTTATGTGAACTCATCACTTACTAGTAATATTATTATTATTACAAGTGAACACTTGGTAAGTCAAATTATTAGGTAATCAAGAAGACTTCAAAATAAATATTATATATATATATATATATACCATAGTCAAACGCATCATTGAAATAGAATAATTTTTCTCGCCCCATTTTTTTTAAAATTAAAAAACAACCCCACAAAATGTAACCCATATTAACATTCAGAAGAAGACTGAGTGATTATGAGAATACTAATTTTAAGGAAATGGAGGAAGTAGCAGTACATGCAATGGGACATGATTTCGACAGTGGGCAGGAGAGGGTGGAAGGGGATAAACGCAACAAGGAATATATTTGAGTATGTTTTTATAGGATAAATAGATAAATGGATGGATGAAAAAAACAAGAGTGAGAGGGGAGACATTATAAGCAAGCAAGTGTTAACTGATGAACATAAGCAGGAGGCGAACGGGGTATTGAAGGTAGTGGTGATCGTCGTCCTTTAGTAATTAATGGCCACCAAAACCGCGATCATGATTTGAAGAAATTGATAATTTTCGACTTTTATCATCATTACTTTTATCATAATCAAACCTCTTAATATCAAGCTGATACTTAAGTGATAATTTTATAATGCACACTTTGGAAAAATAGATAAACAAAATACCGACAGCAATTAGATGCGGTATAAAATAGAATATACGTAAAAATTTCAATGATGAATAGAAATCTAACAGGTGAAATGGTGCTTGACCATAATTTACAATTAAATTAGTAATGATCATGGTAAATACACTATAGAGTTGACTGGAGAGATAATTTCTACGGAAATATTGACGACAATGACGATGCCATAGACGTGAGGTCATAGTGAATAAGGCAAACGATAAAAACATAATATAATAGCCAGGATAAAAGCCATGCCAAAAAGCGCTTATAATAAAGACAAGGATTGTACGATAAGCTGATGGAAGACGATCATAAAATGTTTCACGTAACCATCGTGTAGTTGAGATATTCCATGCATCGATAACATGTTTTAAACTAATACCAGTTTCAACTTTAATGAAATCAAAATTGCGAATGTTATGATTTAATGTAGCACCTGTGCGTGGACACTGGCCAGTATAACCAGCACCGACAGCCACTCCGTTGACTTCAGCTAAACCCCATGCAAAGTAGTACTTTTGTCGAATTAAGAATAGAGAAATGGTTACATATAAAATACGATGCAACATGGAGTAATTCTAAAGTGAAACAAACAAATACATAAAATTGAGTGTGTGATCACATATACTAACAATGCTTTCAAAACTCTTATTTTTTCTTTGACAACAGTACAAGTGTAAAACATAATAGTAACTCAAAAGGAATGATTAAAGTGCATTGAACGTTAGTATAATGTAGTAAAAACATCCACATAGCTGTACACCTTTAATACCAAATAGGACGTTTACGCGAGTGTAATATTTAATTGGAGCTTACTATGATTGACAATGAAGCCTGTGATATAAACCTGTACATGTAGTCCAGTTCATTATGAAGCTAAATATATGCTAAGCAGAAAATTTGTGAATGACAAGTCCAACAGGATCATTTCAATAATGCAAAATGTTTGGAATAGGAACGATAACGTGAGAGGGTGCATACATATAGAATACAACTCTATCAGAACCTCGCACAGAACAATAGTATGAAATTGTAAAAGGATTTTATATCGTCTGTACAAAGTTATAAATATCATAACCTCAAGTCAGGATTGTGTCTAGAACCTTTATAAGTGGTGGATTACGATGATAGAATTTGGCCACTCGGGTAGTACCCCAGGCCACACAAATTTCACGATAATTTATGTGGCGCATATATATATTGATACCCCTTTATAATAATGCTTATACGCTTAAATAATAATGTAATATATATAGAATTAAAACGAAATAGTGTTACTTTCAACGACAATTCGTATTTTGATAATCAGATGGTACTACTTATCCTCAATATGAACAAAAAAATGTGTATAGCTCGAAGAAGTCAAAAGGTATATAAACCTCAATACTTTCTTACAACTGAGTTACATTTTTTCAGATGAATAAAGGGAGACTGAACACTACAGATGGAGAAGACAATAGTAATCTATGGAATAATTGGTTCAACACCAAATTAAACTAAATCATTCATTAGGACCGTGGATACGATCGCCACACATTAAGTATGAAGCCTAGTAATACTGCCTAGTTCCTCAGATGGATAGGTGAACCAGGGTTTAAACGAGAGAATTAGTGCGCGAAAGTTAGACGCTTTAACAACCACTAGACTAATGGTTTTATTCAAACCGAATAGTTTAAGAATCAGTGATCCTGTAGTATGTAGGAAAATTATTGACAGAAACCAACAAGACTTATTATTTTGGAAAAAAGACAACTACAATACTTATTCTACAGTAAAAGAGGTTTAGGACATTTGCTGTTGAGTTCATGACTAGAAACGACAGTCTCGGTGGAAACCGCTTTTATCGATGGCTGACTATAAACTGATTATACACACAGTGTGTGGGGGTGAAGTCGTACCAAGGTTTTCCTCAGTATATACATCGATGCTGTCTTGCCATGAAGGAAGGGAGATTGTAGAAGGTCGATTCTAAAAATGAGTGCGCATCAATCTTGCCTCTATAGATTCCCGTTATCGATAGCAAGGTCTTAAAAGCACAGAGGTAACACACACAGAACTATTCACAAAAATGCCATACATGACTGGTCGTAAGCAGTTACTCCTTGGGTATTATGGTTATGCTCATAGATCGTCAAAATCACTCCTAATCATGGTTCATTTTTAGGTTGCCCAACAGCGAATGTCCTTCCACAGTATGGACAACCGATCCCAATACCTCTAACACTACTCGAGATGACAGAATCGATCAAAACAATCAAGATTTATTTGATTCAGTGAAAGCAATTTCCGATATAAACATTCAGACTATTACGACAAAAAATACAATCACTTTTTATCCGACAGTTTAAAAGTACGAAAATTTATTTTTACTGTTTTGTTGGCAGACGAAGAGAGAGAATGACCTGTCCTTTTTAATTAAACGACTTGATGCATACATGTATTATGAACACAGTAAACATAAAAAGCATGAAAGTGTTTTTGGATGCTTTATATCACAACTGCATGAGACGAAGTGAATGAAATTAACTATCGTCTCAAGCTACTGATTATTTTTGAAACTAATCCTGAAATTGAGATGAATACTGGATACGATTTTGTCTTTCGAAGAGGGTTTCTTGTACTTCAAACGAGATGTATTCAAGGTTATGTTTCTATTGATGCGACCATTAGCCAAATGCTTTAACTATTGATTCACTATCACTTAATTTTTTTAAAGTAACAATTACTTTCCTCTTAGATAAAAATATTTTATCAGTATAGGGTTGTGGAGATTGTAGAAATTTTGTTGAGATCAAGAACCGATCTAAGTTAGACAACAGTTGAAAGCACTGGACTGGCGTTTCGTCCGAGTATGGGACTTCTTAGCAGTACGCACGCACGACCCCGCAACCGGGATTCAGAAGAAGGGCTTCTGGTTTTGTGTGTGAACGCTTGATATTTAGACCACTGAGCGCAAGGAGGGATTCCCAAGGTTGTCGTGAGAATGCATGACCATTGAAGTTCGATGACGTCGGCTGTGAAGAAGTTATTCTATAAAGCTAATGGAATATTTCCTATCAAAATTGTTGATTGATTGGAGTTAAAGTTGTACACCATTGAATTGTGAGTCAGTAGTCTAGAAGTTGAGAGTTCTCGAACGAGAACGAATCGCCTGGCTTCGATTACCAGTTGCGGACTTGAGAATGAGCACAAGCGTTGTGATACGTTTGCGAAATGAACGCTCGATCCCGTTTCTTAGACACTTCTAATAACCCCAAGATTAATCTGCACGGTAATTTGAACACAAGAAAAAAGCCGCAAGGTGCTAAAAGGACTCTTCAATACAAGGTTGGTTCGTGTATTTATAGAGTAACACATGACATCAGGCTTCTGGAAGTTTCTGGGTCCATTCTAAATATAGTAGCCGTATAGGTGAATATACAATCGGAAACGTGACTCCCCAATTTCCAGATGCTTCTGGAAAGTCTTTATTCAACGCTGACTGGATAATGTTTCCTTGTCGATAAATTTTGGAACCCCCTAACAAGTTCCATACTAGGACAAAATACCAGTCCAGTGCTTCCAAGTGTTCAGTGGTTGTTTAACTTGGATCAGCTCGTGATTTCAACAAATATTTTGGTTAGACAATTATAAATAGAACTTACTGTAAACGGCTCAGTTAAAACAAATTCAAACGGGAAATAAGGACATAAATAGGCAGCTGATAGGCCCGAAGCTATTGTACGTAGAAATAAAGTGATTAAATAACGCATATTGATTGGAGGTAATTCTCTGCTTGTGTAACCTTTAAGATAATCCATATATTCAGAAAAAAACGTGAAAGGTCCAACAAATACACCATGAAAATAAAGCATGTATGCAAAAAATATGATCGGATCTGGAATTTTCTCAACGGCATGTAATTTATGACTTGTAGGGATATTCATCATGACAGAATGACTATCCGACGCAATAGCAGTAGCACGTTGCATTGATTTACAATGATTTGGCGCATGATAATGAATAGTGTTTGACTTCAATTTCGAAGTCATTATCATTGTTGTTGTATCAAGTTCAGTGAATGCGTCCCCTTTGCAACAAGGTGGGAATTGTTCCACAGTTTCATCACGATTGATTATTTCATTGGTGGAACAATTAGTTTGTTGTGATTTACAATAATTTGGACCAGACATTTTACGCATTGATACACCATCGACAAGATTAAACGCTAAACTAGATAAACGTTGAGTTTGTACCATTACTGGTCCAGAAATATCCAGTGTATATCCCCCATAATCATATTTTAATCGACAAATATGTACTAATGTAAGATAAAATAACGACCAAATTGTCACTAATACAGCCATAAAATGATTACTAGGTAGACACATCATGAATAGATAAGCAATACTTGATTGTATCAATAATACACGCAATTGATTACCAAAGCAAAATGATAATAACAACAGACCAAATAAGGTTTCAAAAACTGCACGAATTCGTGGAGAGCATTTCTGAGGTGATAACCGGCGTCGCATTAATTGACCCAGACCGATGCTAATCACTCCACTAACAACATAGTTAATTTGATCTAATGGAACATTCATAAATTTAGCAAGTGGGATAAAAATCTGTGAACTTCTGTAGAATCCACCACGAACTGGTTGCTCATTTTCTAATGGGACAAAATCAAGACCCATGAAAACCTTATTGAAATATGCAAATGAAGTGAATTTCATAATGTAGATTTAAAGTTGTTGGTTGGCTTTAATCACGCATAACAATGGTGGTGATAATAATAACAATAATGTTGACAATGATGTTGTTGGTAAATTAACGACTAGAACTTAAGATGAGAGAAAAAAAGAAAAAAGCGAAAAGAAAAACCAGCATCCAAGTGTTAGAAAACAAGTAAACATAAGAAATAGCATGTACATCAAAGTAAACGAAATAGTAGAATTCAAGGTTGAATTTGTTACTAACAAATCCGAAAGTCTTACATCATTAAATAACTGACTTTATAATATATAGGATTTCATTATCAAATATCAATTTAGTGATTCTGATGCATTATTAACTCGTTGAATATTATGGAAAGCTTTTAGTCCTTAACTGAAGTGAGATATCTAGTAGAAGTGTTTACACACTTGCATAATTATTTTTTACCCATAAATTTCGTGGTAAATACAGCTTTAAATCGAGTAGAAAGGCGACAATATTCAGCTGGTAATGGGTATTCATATTAAATTTAGTTACATAAACTCATTCCCCAGGTAGTTAGGTAGGAACCACGTTTGCAATGTGACGGCTAATGACACCCGGTTGCCTAAACCGAATTAGGTGGGGGCTGAGGATCCAACCTTTTAACCATTAAGTAATTGCGACTCGGTGTCGATATTAGAGAATAGAAATAAAGAGCAAAACTCCTAGCATCATATTCATGAAAAAAGGTCACGACAGTTTCCAGAGTACATCAATTTAGTGAGTACGGTTAAGAATTATTGTTTTTAAACACCTCAGCCATCGAGTTTATTAAGCTATGGATCCTAAAATTTTAAAATGAAGCAAACTGATGGACTTTCATTGATCGTACTTATATAATATACTGAGTTAATCAATCTAATTCACCTCTCAAGTGTGTACTTGCCTACTTGAATTTAGCTTGCTTATACTGAGAAAGTTGGTTTTAAACTATAAACTCAGAGTGGTTGAAAACTAAATGATTCTGTACCTAAATAATGTGCTAGATAGGCATTATGAGATGTCAACTGGATGGTGACAGTCACAGATTTTGGCAGTGAATGTGAGGAAAAAAGAAAAGATAAACTATCACTACTACAATGGTATGGTTAATATAATATCGTTTGGAAAGAATGTGATTTGCCCTATGAGAACATATTTCTGTAAGAATAAAGTTTGAAGAAAGCCATTTACATTCATCTATGTATGGAAAAATTATTAGTTGTTTAGTGTTTAAATTTCAACCTAATTCGATAATTTGTTATTTATTTCATTCAAAACTGAATTGAAAAGCTGAGACTAGTAGCGATTGATACCAGAGTTTTGTATTTTGCCAGTTTCACGTACAAAACATGTAGTGAATTTTGGCTATGCAAATGATTTGTGATCGAGTTTACATTTAGGATGAAACATTAAGTAGTACATACAACCAATAGGTACATAGTAACTTTAAATGTTAAATACAATAAAACACTATCGATCGCTAATGATGGCCTCAGTGAAAATTTCTCGAAATTATCGCAGATCGAAAAATGACATAATGGCAATCGATAGCAATGTATCTTGCTAGTCTGTTCTATGTGGAGATACTTTCCCTAACGCGAATAAACATAATGTTGAACACCATGTGCTGGATAACTTGAAACCAAGGTACATTGGGATAGCCTTGCACAATGAAAAAAACATTCATAAATTTCACTAGACTATTATTAAATGCTAACATGCTTTGTTTTATTTTAGTATCTTCTCAGTATTGTTTTAAAGTGTGACGAATTGAAGAGATATACTACTAACGAACGCCTGTTTATCTGCCTTAGGTTTTTCAGGGAGATTTTTTTATCAGTGTAATGTTTGGCTAGTATGAGAAAGTGTTATAAGGCTGCTTTCCTCGTCTACATAAATGGGACGCTAATTCGCCTTAGACGTATATCGACACTAGATGCTCTCCCAATGTCTATTCTACAGGACTTCAACACAACTCAGATCAAGAACATGTGACTAGCCTGACTAGAACATAAGTATATTTCCACACCAAAAACCAACAACAATGACAATAGTAATAAGGAAAGGAGAACGTATAACTCATCGAGCACCTGTCAGACTATCTACTAGTCTGACTAAGCAAAAAACCGATCATTATCATTCTTGCCCACACATCGAAAAGAAAGCTTAATCTGATATGGCTACTGGAAAACTGATTATGGAGCTACCACCCTGACGTTTGGGTATCATAATGACTTAATCAAGCTATGCTGAGTTGAATATTCACTTCTTGAGGTTTTATCAAATTAGGCAGATTGGTTAAAGATTGTTAAGACTGAAAGCACCAAACTTAGAGTTCGACGGTTAACTCGTACTGGTGAATGTAATAGGGGTACGATGACATAGTGAGATTTCTTATGAATCAGCCACCATCTCCGAAGATGTTGCTTTCTCATGGAAGTGAAGAGAGGAAACTTCAGCAATTAAAACAGAACATGGATTTCCATCATCGCCCGTAAGGTCTGAAAAGTATGGAGCTAATACATTCAAAACTATTCACAAAATTCGTAAGGCGGTTGTTTCTCAGGCTCTGAAATTACATTCTCAGATCGATTGATCAAGGAGGTATGTTTCCACAGTGGGAGGAATCGGAGAGTGAAAACCACTAACGTATCTCGAACAGAACCCAATGTATCTCCAGTAACATCGGGAATCCGTAAACATAAGTGTCGTTCTTTAAGAGGCTAGCTAGTTGTAAAACGTCTGCTTTTTATACATGGTCTAACTGTCTAGAGCAGCTCTGTGTGGGCAGCTCCAAGTTCTCGAAAAAAAGTATTGTTAAGTGATTTCGTTCATCTAAGAACGATATAGCATTATGTCCCATTTAATGGAAATCTCTAACAGATTAGAGGCGATCTTTGTAACAGAGGAGTTAGTTATATCTAAAAGATTCACACCTATTCGAAATAGCGGCCTTTTTTCTTTCTTCAAGATCAATATTTAACGATTAATAATAAAAACAGTATAGTACATTGCACTCTCATATCATTAAGTTTACCAAATGACACAATTTCTCTATACGTAACTTTAATTAGTTAACGTAAAAATTGACAACTATTTATATAATCGACGCGTTAAACATTAGAAAAAATAAATTCACATGTATAATAAAATATCAGGCAAGCAACAAGCAATTTGGACGAGATAAAAATGAAAAAGCAGTAAGTTAGTATATATAAATTCTGACTGTACAAAACTGATTGAATTCGGTAACACTAAATAACAATTTAGTGTACACATTTTAAAATGATTTTTAACACAACATAAACAATATTTTTCTTTTTCACATTCCTAACTGAACAAAAAAATAAGTCGTTTGTCTGAAGAATTTTACGAGATTAAATGCTTAATTCGATAGAGGTACTCGGATCATTTGAACATAAAGTTTGAGTATCTTTAAAATATCGCGCTCTGACGGATGTTATTTGTTTTACCCAATCGTCCGCGTGACCAGAAGGGTCTTCTAAATAATATGTTTTATTTGGAACATGAATAAAAAATAATTTGTTACTTCTCAATTCAACAGTTAACGAATCGGACCATGCAACTTCTCCTTTAAGTGTCATATTTTCAACATCGATATAAAAGAGATGGGGTCCTTCCGTTAGTAAAAACATTCGCTTTCTTGCAAACAATCCTCGACGCTTAAACAATATGCCTTGTTTTAAAATTAAACGACCACGAACGAAACGATTGAAAGGATTGTGCTTTCCTTGTGCATTTAATAAACGAATACGATCATCTTCAGTTATTTGAGAAGGAGACAAACCGAGTTCACGCGACAAGTGATATTTCTCTGCTTCTTTAAAACCAACAGGTAGATTATCCCAACCCTCAGGAGCAATTGGTTCCAAGTTTGGAACTAGTAAAGGAGGTTCTTGGTACGGCAAGATGTCCCATTTAATTTCAGAGAAAAACATATGTCGACGAACAGATATGGATCCACCATGGGAAGGACTACCAAGGCGTTCACTGGGACTGATTACAAGTAGTTTTTCCACCAAATCTTTTGCAATCGGATCAAAATTTGGGGCAAATGTATAAGATAAACTTAAAATTTTCTGAAATGTTTCATATTCATGGACAGGACCACTTTTTCGGAACGGAGAGGATCCAGAAATCAACTGATAAATTATACACCCGAATGCCCAAAAGTCCATTAGATAAGTAAGATCCTGTGAGCTTTCACTATTTGGAGTACAATCACCTTGTCTAGAAATACGAGAAAGCATTTCAGGACTAACGTATTCTGGAGTTCCAGTAAAACTAGGTGCTTTAATATTTGGAGAGTTTAGTATAACAGCTGATCCAAAATCGGCCAGCTTGATGTGCATTTTATCTGTTAATAAAACATTTTCCGGCTTTAGGTCTCGATGAACTATACTCATTGAATGTAAATAATCTAGGGCTGCAAAGATTTCTGCAGCATAGAAGCGAGTACAGTGAACACTCAAGGACGTGAAATAAGTAAGGTATGACAATAGTTCTCCACATCTTGCATATTCAAGAAGATAAAATAACCTAGTAGAGTCTTGGAATGTGCAATGCAAACGAATGATGAAAACATGGTTTGTGCGTTTAAGTACTTCTTTCTCCATCAGTACAGAGTCCACAGCCTTGTAACGCCAAACACGTTGTTTATCAACAACCTTCATAGCGAATTCTGAACTTGTTGAAATTTCTTGGACAACATAAACAGTTGAGAAGGTACCTTGTCCAATCTCTTTACCAAATTTAAAATCAGATGGTTTGGGAATAGGTCGAGTTATTGAGTTAAGACTATCAGCTGACATGGCCCTACAAAAATTAAATACCTTAAGTATATGTAACAGGAGCAACCATGTAAGCTTGGTAAAAAAATAAGAACTGTAACATAACATAGAAATATTTATATTTAAGAATTTACCGATATGATTGATTTTTACTAATGTACTTATAACTCAAGATAATTTTAAGTTCAAAGAGGAAAAATGAACCTGTTTACAACGTGCTATTGCATAAGAGCCTGTCTGACTAACGGGTAAGAGGGAAACAACTAATTTAAACAGTACGACTCTATGTGAT